ACATATTATCTATTTAAATATCGTGGTTATATAATTTGCAGCTTGATTCGCGCTTATCTGGCCAGTACGCCCATTGACAATGCGGTCAGGGACGAGGGACGAGGGTCGAGACGCGCGCGCAATCCGATCGCCCACCCGTCCCATACGACGAGCCATACGAGCCGAGTGCATCCGTTCGGCTGACATATGTAGATAATAATATGTGTATGAGTGTAGTAGATATACATACATACACATGTATCTATATATGTATGTCTGTATGTGTATATACAGTTGTTGATAGTAGGGTAGCCCAGACTGGGTTTTCTGTTTTGTTTTGATCCATTTCTTTTTTGGGGCCGCACGACTTATAAACAATACGAATACAAACTTGAGCTAAGTCGTCCGCAACGTTTGTTTGCATTAAACCATATGTGTGTGTGCGTATGTGTGTGTGCGTATGTGTGTGTGTGAGTGTGAATGTGGCTCACATACTTTCTGTTGGCTTCCCCATCGCAGAGTCAGTTGTCGTTGACGTCTGTCAGTCTGGTGTTTCGATAAGTCTTAGCGCACTTAAGTTGTCAATTTCATTGGGCTCGAGTATGAGCACCTTTAAGACCCGAAAAGGCGAAAGATAACACCCGCCCACACTTACGATTATTATTAATTAATTATCCAATTGCAATCGATTACAGTGCGAAACGAAACGAGAGCCGCGACGATGAGCTGAGCTGAGCTGAGCCTAGCTATGCATTCAGAGAGCTATCGTTGAGATCAGCCCGCGGGGATAACTGCTCAAGGACCAACAGCAACAACAGCAACAACATCATCATCAACAACAACATCATCATCAACAACAACAACAACAACCACAACTTCAACAACTTTGTGTCTGCCAAAAAGAGAACTAAAACAGCAACCATAAAGAGAGTGTAAGAGAGAGAGTGAGAGTGAGAGAGAGAGCACGCTCGCATCTTCAATAGAGTTTGTTGTGGCAGCCCCGTCATATAGAGATGACACTGACCGCAACGGCAACGCCACCGGAGAGCAACAAGAAAATGGAAGTGAATGCCCCAGCAGACGAGAATCTGCCCACATCTGAAATGGATCTGCTAGCCAAGCTGGAGGCGGCCAACAAGCTAATCGAGAGCGATGCCAAAAGCCTCAACTCGCTGCACTCAACGCACAGTCGCAAGAACTCGGACACGAGCCAAATCAGTCTGACATCAAGTAAGACTCGAATCTCAATATCCCCCATATATGTGTCAGCTGTTGAATATATGTATGTGTGTATGTAATGTGGATTTCAATGATTTTTGCAGGCGGCAATTCGGTCGCCGAGGAGGACATCTGGACGACATGGGCATCCATTCTGAACGACTGGGATGGCGCGCTGAAGCGCAAGAATCCCTGCGTGCGCGAGCTGGTGCGCCGTGGTATTCCGCATCATTTTCGTGCCATCGTGTGGCAGCAGCTGAGCGGCGCCGCCGACGCCGATAAGAAACAGTATGCGGAGTACATAAAGGCGACATCGGCGTGCGAGAAGGTGATTCGGCGTGATATAGCGCGCACCTATCCGGAGGTGGACTTCTTCAAGGAGAAGGACGGGCCCGGCCAGGAGGCGCTGTTCAATGTGATCAAAGCGTATTCGCTGCACGATCGTGAGGTCGGCTACTGCCAGGGCTCTGGCTTCATTGTGGGCCTGCTGCTGATGCAGATGCCCGAGGAGGAGGCGTTCGCAGTGCTCGTGCAGATCATGCAGCAGCATCGCATGCGGCACATGTTCAAGCCATCGATGTCCGAGCTGGGCCTGTGCATGTACCAGCTGGAGAATCTGGTGCAGGAGCAGATACCCGATATGCACCTACATTTCCAGCAGCAGGGCTTCCAGACGACCATGTACGCGTCCAGCTGGTTCCTAACGCTCTACACGACCACACTGAACGTGAACCTCAGCTGCCGCATTATGGATGTCTTCCTCAGCGAGGGCATGGAGTTCATTTTCAAGGTGGCGCTGGCCCTGCTGCTCACCGGCAAGGAGTCGCTGCTGTCCCTCGACATGGAGGCCATGCTGAAGTTCTTTCAGAAGGAGCTGCCCGGCCGCGTCGAGGCCGATCCGGAGGGCTTCTTCAACTTGGCCTATGCGCAGAAACTGAACACGAAGCGCATGAAGAAAATGGAGAAAGAGTATCAAGACTTGAAGAAAAAGGAGCAGGAGGAGATGGTCGAGCTGCGACGGCTGCGCCGCGAGAATTGTCTGCTCAAGCAGCGCAACGAGCTGCTCGAGGCCGAGAGTGCCGAGCTGGCCGATCGTCTGGTGCGCGGCCAGGTCTCACGTGCCGAAGAGGAGGAGACGAGGTACTTGAACTTAACTCCAACTCTCTCTCTCTCTCACTCCCACTCTCCCCCTTTCTTGACGTAATCTAATCGCATTTCTGCTGTCTATTGCTTAGCTATGCCATTCAAACGGAGCTGATGCAGCTGCGACGCTCCTATCTGGAGGTCTCGCATCAGCTGGAGAATGCCAACGAGGAGGTGCGCGGCCTCAGCCTGCGGCTACAGGAGAATGTAAGTGTTGTATAAGACTACAGCGAATTTAACACTATTCTCGATTGTCTTGTAACTAAAAACAGCAGAAACTGAAGAAATTCTAAAGAGAAAATAGTGCTAAACTGAATTATCGAAGTCGTGCTAAATCTATAGATATACGTTTGTTAATCATTTCTGTCTTTCTTTTTCCATTCTGTTTATTTCTTGTGGTTGTGGTGCTTAAAAACATGCATATATCTCAAACAAATATGTCGAAATCAAAATAACCAAAAATTCCAAATGGTAATCCAATCGCAAAACGTTTGCTTAAAAAAAAAAAAAAAAAATAAATTAAATAAATAAAAAAAAAAAAATCCATGAAAATTGCTGCCAACGTCAAGCAGAACGTTTCGATCGATAGCGTAAGTATCTCAGCTTGCCAAAATGTATATACAGACAGGTGTACATACATACATATATAGAGTATATATGTATATGCTCATGTCGTGCTTGGGCCTCCAAAGTATTGCCCTCAGCCATGGCAGGTGCATGCCAATTTCGGCATTACGTAGCATTACTTTGCATGTTTGTTATCGTTCTTTTTTCTTTTTATTTGATAGGTAATTTGTCGTTTACTAATATAATAATTCATTCATTCACGTGCGTACATAATAYAACAATAACACAATTAACATCATTTGTTCATGTACCCTAAGTAGATTAAGCCCAATCAGATATGTATATATTATGACTAGAGTTATCGCTATCGCTATCGATATGACACCCATTGAACATCATTGATCGATTTTTCGATAGCCTTCAAACTGTTGTCTGCATGCAAATATTGATGAGCGCCCTTTGTGAGAGTTTTGCTAAAGCCAGACTTTTCTCCATTTAGAATAACTCGCGGCAATCGTCGATCGACGAGCTGTGCATGAAGGAGGAGGCGTTGAAGCAGCGCGACGAGATGGTCTCCTGTTTGCTGGAGGAGCTGGTCAAGGTGCGGCAGGGCTCGGCCGAGAGTGAGGATCAGATACGAACTCTCAAGTCGAAGATCGAGGAGCTCGAGGAGGATAAGAAGACGCTGCGCGAAACAACGCCCGACAATTCGGTGGCCCATCTGCAGGACGAGTTGATAGCGAGCAAGTTGCGCGAGGCGGAGGCCTCGCTATCCCTCAAGGATCTCAAGCAGCGCGTGCAGGAGCTGAGCAGCCAATGGCAGCGTCAGCTGGCCGAGAATCAGCGCAACGAGCATAGCGCCGCCTCCGTGGACTCCACACCCAAAAAGCTGTTGACCAACTTTTTCGACAACTCCAAGTCGACGGAGCACACACAGAAGCTCGAGGAGGAGCTAATGACGACGCGCATACGTGAAATGGAAACGCTCACCGAGCTGAAGGAGCTGCGGCTGAAGGTCATGGAGCTGGAGACTCAGGTGCAGGTCTCCACAAATCAGCTGCGCCGTCAGGACGAGGAGCAGAAGAAGCTCAAGGAGGAGCTCGAGCTGGCTGTCACACGCGAAAAGGAATTGGCCAACAAGGCGCGCGAGCAGCAGCACAGGTGCGTCCCATTAGCATCAATCAGATTATTCAGTTAGTAATTTACGCACTTTATATAGATACTCGGATCTGGAATCTCGCATGAAGGATGAGCTCATGAATGTCAAAATCAAGTTCACCGAACAGAGCCAAACGGTCGCCGAGCTGAAGCAGGAGATTTCACGACTGGAGACAAAGGTGAGGCCTCGAAATTTATAGTAACTCAGCTCTCGAGATTAACGAGATTCGGATCCCTTGTAGAATTCGGAAATGCTTGCCGAGGGTGAACTGCGCGCCAATCTCGATGATTCGGATAAGGTGCGCGACCTGCAGGACAGGTTGGCTGACATGAAGGCGGAGGTGTGTATTGCCGATGGGTCCAGCAAAGCCCTTTACTTGGATACCATTTGCTGTTTATTTTCGGTTTCGGGCCTTTAATATTCTGCGCACCCACAAAAACCCATCCAAAAATGCCAAATTAAAAGCGCCAAGCAACAGCTACACTCACACACTAATAATCACCGTGTATACACACCCACTCACACACACACACACACATTCGCATATGCACTATGAGCGCCTACGAAATTGGCGCTGCATTGGCCAGCAGCTAAACACACTAAAGACAAGCAGAAAAAACCCCATTCAGGACTGTGTTTCAGCTCATGCTAATTGCTTATCAACCCATAAGCTTTGGTGTGGCATTCGCTTTTATATTTTGTATACGTGCATTTTACTTCGTTTATTTTTGTAATTTTCAAGAGTATTTTTTGAGTTTCTGGTACTTTCGGTACTGCTGAAGATATTAATATCGTATGTTTCTCATTTAAATCTCTTTCTCATACCAAAAAAAAAAAAAAAACAAAACAAAAAACATATATCAAACGCAACGCAATGCTGCGTCTCTAGTATCCAACGCCTATAACCAGCCCCGACACTGAGCCGTGGAAGTGGATAAGCTAAGCTAATCGAATATATATAAAGTGCTAACCAAAACTAAAACTAAACCAAAAACAAATATTCAGCAAAGCATCGTCGTCAAATACCAAAAGCATCTACCCCCACATTCCAGTTAAAACCCAAATCGACCTCAACACTTTAACAGCCAACGACCAAATGTGCAAATCAGGTGTCTATATAAAACTCTGTTGAAGAACGAACTCATTACCCAATCCTATATTAGCATTAGCATTCTGTATAGTTACGATCTAAGCGCCTGTTAGATCATAGACTTTGTTGTCGATTGTTTTTGAGTACATTTGGTATTTCCATCATGTTCATATTCCAAAATTTATATTACAATTTGGCATGTATTTAGTGTTACCTCTGCATCTGCCTGCTGTTTGTCCCCATATAATATATGAACATATTTCCATTTATAAACTTTTATTTCCGCGTGAAGCATGCGCTCTTAGATTTCATACAATTTTCCCAAGATTTGTGCATAATTTCTATAATTTTATTTACTGTTTTGCATGCTAAACGGGGATCGGTCTAATTGCATGTTATATATATGTTATTATTTATAATAAGATTTTACTATTTATTCTGTGAGCTCGCTTCATATCGACTCAAAACWATTTTATATGTTATTAAGTAAAAACTGTAATATAATTAAAATAAAGAAAATCTCGCATTTGTATCCCTTCTCATTTGTAATACATCTATACATATATATATACCCGCCCAGCGTGCTGTAGACACTTTAGCCACGTTTCACTGTATCACATTGCTATCATTTTCCTGCCAATATCGTAAATTTGCAAAGCTCTACGCTTAGCAAAGACACAAACCAGAATATCGTTTAATATTTGTATATGTGAAATTAAAATGAATTTTTCAATATATTTTCACATGCATGAGCTTTTCCTCATTGTTTGTTTTTCATTTGATTCAAATTTGATTTCTTTGTGCATTTCTTATCTTGTCGCTTATATAGAGACTATTGTGTATATATGTATTTTTGTAGTTGGTATTTGGTAGAGCTCTGTAGTAGGCTTGGTTAATATTTAAGCACGCACACTAACACAGACAAACACACACACACACATACACACATATACACCACTACTACTATTAGTACTAGTCAAATACGTATACGTAATGCACGCACAAACACGAATACAATTCATCAATGAAATCGTAACTAACTTGGCCAACATCATTTCCTGCTGCAGTTGACCGCACTGAAAAGTCGTGGCAAATTTCCAGCCCACAAGCTGCGCAGCGCCTCCATACAATCCATCGAATCAACAGAGATCGACTTCAGTGACCTCAACATGGTGCGTCGCGGGAGCACGGAGCTATCCACATAATATATAAAGCCGATGGCGTCTTACACAGTGCGGATGGCTAATATATCTTCGTATATGCATATACATACAATGATAACTATATAGATCACTTTATATACATATATATACATACATGTATTTACATATTATTGGCTGATGTATGTGGAATACATAACAGACTATGTAATTTCTGTCACAAGGTCGCAGCTGTGGTGTGTCGATGGTCAATAAAAATATATGATTAGTAAAAATTCAATGAAAAAAAAAACAAAAAACAAAAAAATTATAAGGAGAAAACACAAATACTATTTATAAAATATGTTTTAAACAATAATTATTAATATTATGATTATTTCTTTCCAATTTTATTGTATGTATTTATATAAGGA